GGTGAATTACATTGATTGATTTTTCTAGTGTTGAACCACGCTTGCATCCCTGGTATGAATCTCACCTGATCATGATGTATTATTTTTTTAATATGCTGTAGTACTCTGTTACCCTGAATTTTGTTGAGAATTTTTGTGTCTGTATTCATGAGGGATATTGGTCGTAATTTTCTCTTTTTCTGATATCTTTGCCATCAGGGTTATGGTGGCTTCATAGAATGAATTAGGAAGTATTCCTTCCTTTTCTATGTACTGGAATAGTTTGAATAGAATTGGTGTCAACCCTTCTGAATTTTTGGTAGAATTCTTCATTGAAGCCATATGGGCCAGGACTTTTTTTGGTTAGAAGTTTTTTTAGTGACATTTTCAATTTCTTCTTTTGTTATGGATCTGTTTAGATTTTCTACCTCTATTTTTGTTAGTTTAGGTAGGTAATGTGTTTCTAGAGATTTGTCTGTTCTAGGTTTTCAGATTTGTTGGTGTACAATTTTTCATAATATTCTATTATTATCCTCATTATCTTGGTTGGTTCTGTTGTTGCACATTCCATTGCTTATTTTGGTTATTTACATCTTCTCATTGTTTTCTTTTATCAATTTGGCCAGTGGTTTGTCAGTTTTATTGATCCTCTCAAAGAACTAACTTCTAACTTTGTTGATTCTTTCTATTGGTTTTCTATTTTCTATTACATTTATTTCTGCTGTGATCTTTATTATTTCCTGTCTTCTGGTGACTGTGGACTTCTTTTGCTGTTCCTATTCTATTTGTTCAGGTTGTTGGTATAAGTTATTGGTTTTGGGCCTTTCTTGTTTTTTGATGTATGCATTTATTGCTATAAATTTTCCTCAGAGCACTGCTTTTGCTGTGTCCCAGAGGTTTTAGTATGTTGTGTCTTCATTCTCATTTGATTCTAAGAATTTTTTAATTTCTTCTATGACCCAAAGTTTTTAAGTTAGATGTTACTCAGTTTCCAGGTATTTATTTTTTTCCTTGCTCTTTTTGTTACTGGTTTCTAGTTTCATAGTGTTATGATAAAAGAAGATGCTTTGTATTATGTTGATGTTTTTGAATTTATTGAGACTTGCTTTGTGGCCTACAATATGATCTGTTCTGGAGAATGATCCATGTGCATTGGAGAAGAATGTGTACTGTGCTGCTGTTGGGTGGTGTGTTCTGTATATGTCTGTGGTTGCTTGTGTTGTTTAGATCTTCTGTATCTTTATTGGGTTTCTTTCTAGTTGTCCATCATCTAAGTCGTATGTTAAAGTTTCCTAACATTATTGTAGAACTGTCTATTTCTCTTTTCAATTCTGTTAGTTTGTTTTATGTATTTTGGAGTTTGTCATTGAGTGCATAAATATTTAGATTTTTTATGTCTTAGTGAATTGACCCTTTAATCATTATATAATGCCTTCATTGTCTGTTATAATGGATATGGACTTAAAGTCTATTTTATCTGAAATTATTTTTGCTACTTCTACTCTCTTTTAGTTACTGATTGCTTGATATATATATATATTCCATCCTTTTATTTTTAACTTATTTATATCTTTGTGTCTAAGGTATGTCTCTTGTAGGCAATATATTGATGGGTCATTTTTTAAAAAAAAATATGTTCTGCCATTGTATGACTCTTGACTGGTGCATTTAATCCGTTTGTATTTTATGTGATTAATGAAAGGTGTGAATTCATTGCTGTCATTTTGTTTAATGGTGTCTTTGTTTCTCTTAATTCTCTGTGCTGAGTTCTTTTTTTATATGGATTTTCTTTTCTTATCCTTCATTGTTGTTTTTGTGTTTACTGAGTCTTTTTGATTTTCTTGATTTTGGTGAGAAGATTTACTAATTTTTTTGTGGTTACGTTGAATTTTACCTTTATCCTTTTAACTTTAAAACAATCTGCTATATGTTGAAATCCTCTTGACTTCCTCTCTATATGGAAGTTCTATAACTACATCATTTATTCCCCTTTTTTTGTTTGAAATTATTACTGTTTACAGCTTATCATCTCTGGTTCCCTGTAGTGACTTTTGTAGCTTTATTTTACTCTTGTGAACCTTTATCTGGGTTGATATCTTGGTGATGCTGTTGTATGTTTTGTCTTAGGCTGTCGTCTGATGTCGTTGGTTCTCTAGTTGAAGGACTCCCTTTAGTATTTCTTGTAAGACTCTTCAGTTTTTACAAATTCCCTTAATTTCTGCTTGTCTGGGAATGTCTTAGTTTTGCCATCATTTTTGAAAGACAGTTTTGCTGGATATACAATCCTTAGTTGGCCATTCTTTTCTTTCAGGATTTTATGTATGTAATACCATTACCTTGTGGTCCACATGGTTTCTGATGAGAAATCAGATTATTGGTGCCCCTTTGTAAGTGATAATTTCATTTTTCACTAGCTGCTCTCATAATTCTTTCTTTGTCTTTGGTTTTGGAAATTTAATTATGATATGTCTTGGTGAATTTCTTTTGGGGTCTCTTGTATATGGGATTCATTGGGTTTGTTGGATAGAAACATTCTCATCTTTCATGATGTTTGGAAAATTTTCTGCCAATATATCTTCAAAAATTCTCTTTG